CCTGAAGCTCCAATGTCCTGCCACCAGGTGGCCAGACCTGCCACTAAGTATGTGAACCCAGGAGTCCACCCACTCCTCCTGTATGGATTCAGCTTAGGTGTCCAGGTAGTCAGTCACCAAGTGTGTGGTGCAGGCTCTCACCTACATTTCTAGACAGGCATGGGTGATTGGTGTAGGCACAGGCATCGGCTGCAGCAGTGGGACAGAAGCTGAGCAAGGCAGTGAACCGACAGCCACCCCCAAGTGTCCAGGAAGAAAGCATGTCCCTGTTCCCTAGAGCATGTAGATGGGTGGGTTTTGCAGCTGGACTATGAGCACCCAGTGCTGTTGTCTGTAAGTACTGGGGGACATCTCTTATTCTTGGGCCCCTGTTGCAGGTGGCTAGGTGGTGTGGGTGGAGCCAGCAGTACTGAGGCCCCTGATGTGGGTAGGCGGAGAACCTGCTTAATGGGCAGAGCAGTGTCAAATTTCACGAACCTGCCACTTCACAGCTGAAACAGTTGACGTTAGACTTCAGGTATATATCCTGTTGTACTGTGGTAACGAGGGCCTGCACTGTTGAAATGGGCCCACGCAAGTCTATGGAGAGGGAAAGGCACTCAAAGTCTGTGGATCCCTTATGCCTGTGCCTAGGCAAAGGAGCTGTGCCTACCCTGAATTCCTGGCTTAGGTGAGCTGGCAGATTATTTATCCCCATTTGTTAATTTTTTCACTCTCTAAGGCCGGGAAAATGGCTCAGGGAGCATGATGGGTCCTACTTCCAGCCCTGGAACTCAGCAATTGCTGAAGCTGGTCCTGCACCCAGTGCAGAACAGGCAGTGGGGAGGAAAATGGGAGAGAGGTTTTTCCCTAAGGGGGGTGTTTTTGATCTGTGTGGTAGGCCAGATGCAAGCACTTATCTTTCGCCTATCAAGGGCTGCTTCTCTCTGGTTCTGGATGGCCAGGTAGACTCTCTGCTGCTGCGTCTCTCCCAGTGTGGAAAATGCTTCCTGAGCACCGCTGCTTGCTTGCCTCACTGCGAACCACAAGCTGATCAGGCCTGAAGGGCTCAGGCTATCGCCAGGTCAGGTCTGGCAACTCCTCACTGCTTCCGAACCATCTCTCCCTCTCCCTGCCACTCAGTCCGATTCCTCAAATTTGCCTTTGATGTCCAGGGCTCTCTGTCATTATTTTAAGGTGAACTTTCCCTACTTACAAATAAGTAACAGTGTAACATGCTTTGATTCGTAGGCAGCATCATCCAATCTCGTTTTCGCATGTCTTTTGAGTGTTGTAGCATTATCTCTCTGTTTAATTTTCTTTTGTAAATATTACTGTGAAGTGCATCATGGTTCCCAAATGCAGCAGAACCAGCACTAGTGATAGCAGCAGCAAGAGGCAAAGGAGAAGTATCGATTTGGAAATGAAATAAAAGGTTATTAAACAACACGAAGATGGAAAATCAGTGAATGCTATTGCTCACGATTTAGGCATGTTCATATAACATCCAAATCACATAATGTCCTATTTCACAGAACATATCATAGACGTTAAGTGATGCATGATTGTATATTTATAATAAAAATGGTCATTTTCTGAAAAATTTTGCTTGCCCCCAGTGGCTAATTCTTTCATTCTACCATTCTTTTAAAATGTTGCCACTGAAGGATAATTTTAGGACTTTAATTCTAAGAATCTTTTGTCTTCATACTGGTATAAGAAAAAAAAATGAGAAAACTATAGAGAAAGCTGACCTCTAAAGAATTTTTGTGTGGGGAATTACCACGCCATGAAAGACCATAAAGTGTTTTTCTCCCTTTTATTTTTTTTAATGTATTTTCAGCAAGCTGTGTTCTAGTGAGTAAAAGTTTGCAATTTTTATACCAGTCCAAATTCCATTCTCTTAAACTCAGAATTCATACGATGCACTTAAATCTAAATTCATCCTCAAATTGAGTGTATTTTAATAAAGGTTGTGTAGTCTGTTTTGAGCTCAGTTTACCTCAAAACATTCTTTCAAAATAAAAAATTTGGCAATGAATCCTATAATGTATATCCTAGTTTTAAAAAAATAACACGTATAATTTTTCTTCTAATTATAAAAGTTATGTATCTGTGAATGATGCAGACATATAAGCAAACGTTTGTTCATTAGGGTACAATCCTGTGATACTTGTGTTGAATAATCAAATATTTACATTTGTAGCAAATGACTTCTTTCTTAAAAACTTAAAACTACTGTTTCTTATTTTGTTTACAAGTAGCAACTGAAAAGTGGGGAGAAGTAGAAGCTGTCAAATGGACAAGAATGAGATATTTTTCTTCCTTCGTCATCTCCCTGTGTTTGGTCAAAATTTTTTTCTTTCATATGCTCTTTAGAACTATGATGCTTTGGTCTAATATGGACCTTTGTCTTTTTATTCACTGATGTATCCCAAGGGACTAGAAACAGTGCTTGGCTCATAATATGCCTCAAGTATTTGTTGAATGAGAGAATAGAGTCTCTTGTTCTAATCTGGCCATCTTTAGCAGGCATTTTACCTTTTTACTTATTTGTCCAGTACATTGTGAGGTTTAGCCATTATCCTCTGGAGTTTGCCTCTATATGATAGTATGCTGTTTACAGTTAACACTATGCTTTTGTGATGGTAAGGAGCTCTGGTAGCACAGTGGTGAAGCACTCGGCTGCTAACCGAAAGGTCAGTGGGTCGACCTCACCAGCTGCTCTTCGGGAGGAAGATGTGGCAGTCTGCTTCCATAAAGGTTACAGCCTTGGAAATCTCATGGAGCAGTTCTGCTCTGTCCAGTAGGGTCACTATGAGTCGGAATCGAATTGACTCAATGGCAGTGGGTTTGGCTTTTTTGGTTTGTGACAGTAACAGGGAAAGAACTGATAGACAAAGAAAACAGTTGCGTTCAGAAAAGGCAGTTCTGTGGAGACAGATGGTAGATTGGAGATTTGCTGGAGCTGGGGCTGAGGCTGGGCACAGAAAATGACTACGTATGGGCAAGAGGAGTCCTTTTTGGGTGAAGGAAATGTTCTAAAAGTGAACTGTGGTAATCATTGTACAACTCTGTAGATAAAATTATACACTTAAAATGAGTGAATTTTGTAGTATGCAAATTATACTTCAATAAAGCTGTTAAAAAATAAAACTAGGATGAGATTTTTTAAAATTACAATTCTTTGCTAATTTGAAAACTAGGACGATACAAGTATTTTCTGTATTTCTTACTTTGGATATAAACTATTACTGTAATTAATGACTAATTTATGTAAAACCAGCTTTTCTACAAAATATTTTAGGGCATAAAAATGTAAATATTATTCTCTAGTAAAATACTTTCTTTTGCGATATCAGGTTGGAATTTATAAGTTCTTAGCATAAAACATGTTGCTTCATCTAATTTCCTTAACCTCTTTTATCATGTACAATTTGGATTATTTCTAAAGCCATAAAAATAAAAAAAAAATGGGTACAAATTATTCCCCATTGCTGATAGTTTGTTTATACTAGGTTGCAAAATTAGAGCACAGCAATTGATTTTTTCCTGTTGCCTGTCTAAACGATTGTTTTAACTTATCTAGATAGCTTTGTTTTCATTTACTTAAGGAGATTGTTTATGGCCCTTCCTCCTCACCACCACCGCCAAAGTATTATCCTTGGATTTTTAGTTGTTGTTCTTAGATTATTTGTATTTTAAAATTACATGTTGAGGGAAGAAATGTTTTCCATGAAACTGATACTCTTATGCAGACTTTTTTATATTCTTAAAGATATTCTGTATGTGTACTTTAAAAAATTTGACTACGTCCTGAAAATTTATTTGTAAAACCTCTCCCATAGGTATAATAGTCTAAAGATCTAATAAATGTTATTGAGACAAATTAACTCTGTTGAAAGCCTGACAACATCAAGAGTTAGTAGGGCTGTGCGTATAGATATTGTAATTAAAAGCCACTTAGAATTTTAGAATTAATTGAGGTAGCTTTATTTCCCATTAGTTATAACATCATTCACTTATTATGTGGCTTGAAACAATCAGATGATGATGATAGTTGTTATTATTCGAACTGACAAATAATATAGCATTTGCCATATATCATACACTGTTATAAGAACTTTTCTTATATGAACTCATTTAGTTCTCACAACCCTATGAAGTAGGAACTATTAACTTCCTTATTTAACAGATAAAAGATCACATAGAAGTTAAGTAATTTACCCAGGGTCACACAACTAGACACACCCAGAAAGACAGTGCTCATAACCACTATACTGTAAAGACTGGGTTACTTTGCTTTCTCTTTATTTTTTCAAAAGAAAAAAATATTCTTCATGCTGAAAGGATTAAAAAATAGTATCAGAAAGTAAGAGTTAATACTTTAATGCTAATAGGAGAAACATATTCTTCTCTTTCCTTTTTTTAAAATTGTTTCTATCATTTGTTCTTTTTGTGAATCAGTATTATTTCCAACAATTGACATAGTCTGATTACTACTGATTTTTCATAGACCTCTAGGCTGATAGAGGTCAAAGAGTGTTATTTGAATTTAGTCACAAAATCTTTTATTATCAGGATTTCTTTTACGTGTCTGATAGTTTAATCAGTCATCCATTTGGGCTGATTGAACATTTCTGTGGGAAATCTTCAAGCTTTGTCCATAGCTTGAAAGATAGGAAGTGTAAGTGCACTCACTGCACATGTCTGTCAATCTTTTGAGGAACCTATATCATTGGAACTCAAAATATCAACTATAATTTCACATATAAGAATGCTTATAGTTGGTGATTAAATGATGATATAAATACCAATTTAAATAAGCCAAAATATTTTAATAAATTGATCTCTATTGAATTAAGATCATGGTTTTATAATTTTTAATTGACAGAAAAAAGGTAAACATTTAAATAAGCTTATCATACAATACATTATTTCTCATGTTTTTGGGAGAAATTTGAAGGTGCTGTTTTTTTCTTAAATCATTCATTCTCCTTTGTTTTTATTTTATTTTTTAGGATTTTGGCCCCCAATAGCAATTATCAAGATGTTGAGACCCTCTATAACTTCCTAATCAAGTATGAGGTATGAGAAATGTTTTTAAATGTTTGCCTCATTTCCAGTATAAGTTTCAAAAATAAATAAACAGAAGAGGAGTTATAAAATGTAATGGAATGCTATTTAATTGGTGCTTGCTTTAAATTAAGTTCTCAAATTCCACAGAAGTTTGCCAATCACATATTCACTACTTTCTTTAGTTCCCTAAGAAAAGCATACAATAATGCCCTATCATAATACAACTTCTCCAACACAGAACTTAGTACCTCCTAGAGGTAATGATTCTCACTGAGGGTGCTGTTGGCATGTTGGCAGGTCATTTTTTCCTTGCGTGGACATCGCAGGATGTTTAACATCCCTGGTCCTCGGGTACTAAATACCAGTAGCTTCCCAGTCATTGTGACAGCTAAAAATATACTACCACTCTACCCAACCTACATACCCAAATAGCCCCTAGGGAGAAAGAACCATCTTTGGTTAAGAACCATTGATTACTAGAAAGGAAAACTATAATTTAGTTTCCTCTGTAGCAACAGTATAGACCCTGGAGTTAGAGCTGTAATGAGGCTCCAGTGTGTTTTGTAAATTAACCTGCATGCTTTCCTCATCATTGCTGACCAAGAAGAGTATTCTGTTGATTTTTAATTTCTGTTTGCCTAAAGCTCTTGGCCGATGTGTTCTATATATTCCTGCTTTTCAATTGTGGATGTGTGTTTATTTTAAAAAGCTCTAAATGAGACTGGAGAAACCCCGAGAGTATGGCCCCCCGACACCCTTTTAGCTCAGTGGTAAAGTCGTTTCCGATGTTTACCGTTCAGCCGGGGAGTGGACAGCCCCATAAAACCAAATGGGACTAGTGAGACACAGAAGTTCAGGGACAAGGGACAGAAGACAGAAGGGGACAGGAAAGCTGGTGATAGGGAACCCAAGGCTGAGTAAGGATAGTGTTGATGTGTTGTGAGGTTGTTAACCATTGTCATAGGGTAACGTGTACTAACTGTTAAATGAAACTATTTTGTTCTGTAAGCCTTCTTCTAAAGTGAGAATAGCAGCACAATTGGAAGAGCGTAGTTGATGTCACTGAACTGTGCATGTAGAAATTTTTGAAATGGTGTATCTTTGGCTATGTATATTTTCAACAACAACAACAAAAAAGGTTGAGAAGGGAGAGGGTTGACATGTTGGGGGGTTGTTAACCAATGTCATAAAACAATATGTACACTACTGTTTCATGAGAAACTATTTGTTCTGTAAGCCTTCACCTGAAGTATAATTAAAAAAAAAAAAAACACTCTAAATGAATAGGTCCCTAGGGGGTACAGACAGTTTACAGTCAACTACTAACCTAAAGGCTGGTGGTTCAAACTCACCCAGAGGTGCCTTGGAAGAAAGACCTGGTGACCTACTTTTGTAAAGATTACAGCCAAGAAGACCCTATGGATCAGTTCTACTCCATAACACGTGGAGTTGCCATGAGTTGTAATCAACTTGATGGCAATGGGTTTTGGTTAAATGAAGGTATATATTTAGGTCTCACATTTATTATGGAGTCCAAGTCCTTTAAATATATTTCTTCATGTTTGTTCTTGCTTAGCTTTTTATTTAACTTTTTATATGCCAGAAGTCTTCCATTAAGAAACTAGTGATTAAGTTTGACTCAGAGGTCAAACTGCCCATGTTGAAATGTTGGTATATTAACTGTATGATCTAGGAAGACTTACACTCAACTCTTCTTGACTTACATAGTTTCTTCTCCTGTAAAATAGGAGTAACAACAATAGATAAATCATAAAGACAATGATTTGTAAACACTAAATGAGTTAATATATATAAAGTGTGTTAAACACTACCTGGCACAGAGTAGATGGTCAGAAAATGTTACTCATTCTTAAGGAAAGAATATTATGAACAATTATAATTAATTAACATGATTACCATTAGCATAATTATTTACCTGTAACTATAAAACACGTTATTATGTATAAACACATAATTTTAAAATTGTATACACATAATATAATTCATTATAATAAATATGTTAGAATATAATATTCTATTTAAGCATAGATTGGTGTTCATGTGTGCTTTTTAAAAATAAACCTTACTATTTTATAATCACATTATGTGACTGTTAAGAGGATTTCCTCTTTTGAGATGATTGGTATAATTATTTCATCGTACTTTCTGAGTCTGAAGCTGAGACATTAGGTCTAACAATAAAAATACATTGTGGAAACAATAGGACAGTTTTAAAATCGCATCCTGGAAAATCTGGGACATAGGTCTATTTGGGTTTAGTGCTTCATGTTCCTAAGAGAATTGGGAGAAACTACTAAAGTTATTATTTATAAGAATATGTCCTTCTGATTCCCAGATTTTTTTAATCATTTCTTTTAGCAGAATTTCCCCCTCTATACCAATTAGTACATTGGAGATACTTGTCTCATATCATAAACAGTGATAGGATCATCTAAACCTTTCAAGAAGTTTGGCTATTTTTATACTTAACCTTAACCTTTTGTTCTTGAATTTTTAAGAATTAAAAAAAATAAATTGAGCCATTTCTGACACTCAGCATTCGTTTATAAATAGTGCAACTAGAGTCACAACTCTCAATGTTTACTAACAAAGGCATCTTTTAGCTGTTTGTTCGCTAGGAACTAAAATTGTACACTTAAGCATAGAAATGATATTTAACAGTATAATTTAAAATGTCCTAATATGGTTGTTTAGGAGCCCTGGTGGTGCAGTGGTTAAGCGCTCAGCTCCTAACCAAAAGGTCGGCTATTTGAACCCACCAGCCCCACAAGAGAAAGATGTGGAAGTAGACTTCCATAAAGATAACAACCTGGGAAACCCTATCGGGCAGTTCTACTCTGTCCTTTAAGGGGTCACTGTGAGTAGGAATTGACTCGACGGCAATGAGTTTAATATGGTTAATTAAAATATCTTAATAGTCAAAATTAATGAATATGATGAAACAAGATATTTCAGGGTACGGCCTGTGATGTAGGTCATGAGTTTGTGCTTCAGTTTTCCTTTATTAGTAGTAAAGTAACTGTAAAGTGTAAGTTATCTACTGTGTCCTAGAGACATATCACCTTTAAACCCAGCCATTTCTGGGATAAATGCATAAAAGTATGTGGGTGATTACTTTAAAACTAACGATAAATCTAGATCATTTTTGTATTTTTTCTTCATTACTTTGTGTACTCCTGTAGTATATTCTTAAGTTTATTATTTGAAAATGGCATAAAATATTTACTGGTTAAATTTTAGGAAAAAACTTAAGTTCATTTTTTATTTTTAAGATCCACTAAAGGCTTAAGGAATTATTTTGTATTCATATCATATCAGATTTAAATAGTTGATAGAGAACAAATTATCTCCTCATTCTCTGGCTTAACACCTGCAGTGTGTTGACATTTGATGTCCTGAGTTTGAATACGTTTTAGGTCCTGGCATGGTTTTTTAAAACTGCATATTAAGCCAAATGAGTAGTGAGAGCACAGTTGTTGGGTGTCGTTGAGCCGATTTTGACGTAATAGTAAAAATACTAAAGGCTCTTTAAAATGATATTTGATGGTGTAATTTAAAATGTTCTAATATGGTTAATTAGGAGCCCCATGATGCAGTAGTTAAGAACTTGGCTGCTAATCAGAAAGTTGGTGGTTTGAACCCACCCAGCAGTTCTACTCTGTCACATGGGATCACTGTGAGTCGAAATCTAAAGGTCACAGCCTAGAAAACCCTATGGGACAGTTCCACTCTGTCACATGACGTCAGTCTGCATCAAAGTTGATTGGATGAGACCCAACAATAATTGTGCTGTAATTTGGTATAAAATGCAGTTTTAAATAACGATATTTTGGTTCTTTTCAGGTAAATAAAAGTATCCAATTTACTGCCCAGGAACTTTATAATTGTGTTTCACAGACTGAGTATCGGTAAGTCATATGTGTATATTACCATTGTAACGAGATTTTTACCATATACAGCACCACTTGGTGATGGTGAGGTTTTTTTGTTTTATCTTTTCACTACACTAGGTTTTTTAATATTTATTAATATGAAAAGTTTCATACATACAGAATAGCCGTGTGTGTGTGTGTGTGTGTGTGTATGTGTGTGTGTGTGTGTTAGAGAAAAGAGAGGGAAGGCAAGGATGTATGAGGTTTAAAGCAGTGGTTCTCAAGCATTTTGGCCTTAGGGACTCTTATATTTTTAAAAATTATTGAAGATCCTACAGAGCTTTTATTTATGTGGGTTATATCTATATTTACTGTATTAGAAATTATAACTGAGAAATTAAAAAATGTTTATTAATTCATTTTAAAGTAACATTATTTAATTAATATCATGTTAAGGTAAATAACATTTTTATGAAAATAACTTTCTCCAAAACAAAAAAATATTACTGAGAAGAGTGGCATTGTGCATTTTTACAAATCTCTTAATGTCTCGCTGAATAGAAGATAGCTGGATTCCATATTTGCTTTTTTAATTGAAGTGAAATTCACATAACACAGAAGTAACCATTTTAAAGTGAACAATTCGGTGGCATTTAGTGTGTTCACATTGTTGTGCAACCAGCACCTCTATATAGTTTCAAAACCTTTTCATCACCCCCGAACAGAAAACTCGTACCCATTAAGCATTCTGTTTCTGTGGATTTACCTCTTCTGAATGTTTCATATAGATGAAATCGTAACAGTACATGACATTTTGTGTCTGACTTCTTTCACTTTGCATAGTGGTTTTGAGTTTCATCCACATTGTATCATGTATCTGTATTTCATTATGTTTTATGGCTGAATAATATTTCATAGTTACATATATACCACAATTTGTTTATCCATTCATTCGATGGTGGACATTTAGGATGTTTCCATCTTTTGGCTATTGTGAATAGTGCTGCTGTGAACATCCATATACATTTGTTGTTTGAGGACCAGGTTTCAATTCCTTTGGGAATATACCTCACAGGGGAATTGTTGGGTCATATGGTAATTCTGTGTTTAACTCTTTGAGGAACCACATACTATTTTCCTCAGCAGCTGCACCATTTACCTTCCCACCAACAATGTATGAAGGTTCCAATTTCTTCCCATCCTTGCCAGTACTTTTTAATTTCCATTTTTTAAATTATAGCCATCTCAGTGGGTATGAAGTGCTATCTTATTGTAGTTTTGATTTACACTTCCCTGTCATTCCTGCTTTTTCATTTTATCATCTGTTGCAGTAATCACATGTCATGTAGACTCTGGAAAACTATTGTATACTCTTGAGGGAATGAGAGTGCAAAAGGCAAATTATGTCTTAGTCTTATTATGAAACTAGCTTTGACCTCACAGATACAGACCGTGCTTTGAAGAACAACTGGTACAGAAAATATGCCCTCCATTCAGCGAAAAAATAGACCTTTACCCATCCCTTGCTGCATCTCCCCCCCACCCCCCAATCTCCCTGTCCTTTCTCTAGGGATTTTGTGTTTTCAATTTTCTTTCTTTTCTCTATGATTTTACTATATATCATGTATCAGTAAAAATATGTTGTTTAATTTTACTTGTTTTTTAATTTAATGTTATCACACGGTATATATTATTTGCTATTTTCTTTTTTAACTTCATATTGAGATTGATCCATGCTGATGCATGGATAAGTAGTTGGTTTACAGTCAGTTTTATTGTACCATGACATATGCATTCCTGAGTATCACCAATGCACTCCTAAATATCACCACTGCACTGTGCAAAATCATGCAACTGAAAACCACAGGGCTTATGGGAAAAATAGCACTAGGGAAACAACACTCAAAAACGTCTTCAAAAACAAGATACAAGGGAAAGATTAGTCCAAAGGACTGATGGACCACAACTACCACGGCCTCCACCAGACTGAGTCCAGTACAACTAGATGGTACCCGGCCACCACCACTGACTGCTCTGACAGGGATCACAACGTAGGGTCCCGGACCGAGCTGGAGAAAAATGTAGAACAAAATTCTAACTCACAAAAAAAGACCAGACTTACTGGTCTGACAGAGACTGGAGAAACACAAGAGTATGGCTCCCCAACACCCTTAGTTCTGTAATGAAGTCACTCCCAAGGTTCACCATTCAGCCAAAGATTAGACAGCCCTATAAAGCAAAACAAGACTAATGGGGCACAACAGTCCAGGGACAAGGACTAGTAAGCAGGAGGGGACAGGAAAGCTGGTAATAGAGAACCCAAGATCAATAAGGGAGAGTGTTGACATGTCATGGGGTTGTTAACCAATGTCATAAAACAATAGGTGTACTGTTTAATGAGAAACTATTTGTTCTGTAAACCTTCATCTAAAGTACAATTAAAAAAATTTTTTTTAATTAAAAAAGTCTTCAGAGACACATCAAAACAAAGATAGGAACCTGATAAAAATAGTATCACAGTTTTACAAATATTAAGTCATTGAGAAATATGTAAATACTGTAATAAATATGGGCTTTACCTTGAAAATGACCTGAAGTTTGCTTGTGGAAGTGGTCATCAGAAGGGTTGCAGCTTGTGAGTTGTTGCGAAGTGATGGGAGGAAATTGGATGTCAGGTAGTAACACAGAGGTGAATGGGTATGACTCATAATACATGTGGTGAACTGAGGTAGCTGGTGCATGTTTGAGGTGCGTGTGTGTGTGTTTTGTGTATTCCTAAGCAGGTTGGTTCACCTGGGTTCAGTTTTCTCCATTTATCTAGTATCACACTGAAGAAAATACTGATAAATTAGTGTCATGCTGAAATTGTTCCTTAGTATGTCGGTGGCACTGGAACAAATTCTGTGTTCAAAGCAAGAAACTGACTGTATTTTCACTGCTGTGTGGTATGCCACTGTCTCACTAAATTTCAGTTTATCCTTTTTTTTTTCTTAATGGGCATACAGATTATTTCCAGTTGTTTGCTATCACAAACAGTGCTTTGTGGATGTTCTTAAACATTTCCACCAGTACACATGTGAAAGAGTTTCTCTAGGGTATTTACCTAGGTGTGGAATTTCCGAGTCATATGATACACACATGTTCAACCTCACAACATAACTCCAAATTCTTTACCACAGACAGCATTAGACAGTTCTTGTTGCACCCCCATCTTCTGTCTTCTTCAACACTTGTATGTGTTTTTTAAATTACAATTTAATTTTAAAAATCTGGTGGGTATAAAATGGTATCTGCTTGTGATTTAATTTTTACTTCCCAGATTTCAGTAATGAAGTTAAGCGTCTTTTTGTAAGTTTGATCTTTCATGCCTCTTCTACTATGAAATCCCTGTTCATATCTTTTATGTTTCTCTGTTGGGCTGTTTTCCTTTTCTTAATGATTTTTTACAAGTTCTTTATCTACTAATACTTTGTCAGATTTTGCCTTTGAGGAGCAGAAGTTTTTAATTTTAATGTAGTAAATTATTTTGTTTTTTCTTTCATAGTTTGCATGCTTTGTGTCTTGTTTACAAACTCCTTCCCTATCCAAAGATTGTAAAAGAGATATTGAGGATATATGTATTTTAAAGTTTTCCTTTCCATATTTAAGTCTTTAATCCACCTAATTTTTTTCATGTGTGGTGGGAATCCAATTTCTCTTTTTCCATACAGATAAGCAGTTGTTCTGGCAGCACTTACTGACTTGTTATCCTTTTTCTATTGCTTTGCAATGCCCCTCTGTGTCGTAAATAAGGCTTTCACACACATGTGGGTCTGTTTCTGGACTATGTATTAATTACTATAGCTTAAAATAATTTTTTATATTTAGTAATAAAGATGTCCCCACCTTGTTCTTCTTCGTTAATGTTTGCTTATTCTTGGCTATTTGTTCTTCCAATTTAAAGTTTTGAATTAGCATGCTGAGTTCAACCAAAAATTATGGTGGGATTTTGATTAGAATAGTACTGAATCTTAGGTGAATTTGAGGGGAAGTTTTACAGTTCTGAGTCTTTCTATCCATAAATATGTTGTGTATTTCTCCACTTACGTAAATTTTTCATCTGTTTTGATGAGGGTTTATAGTTTTCTCCATGAAGGTTTTGCACATCTTTTGTTAGTTTATTCTTAGGTACCTTATGTTTTTGGTAGTTATTATAGATAAAAACCGAAAAGACAAACTCATTGCCAGGGAGTCTATTTTGACTCGTAGAGACCCTATCGGACAGAGTAGAACTGCCCCAAAGGGATTCCAAGGCTGTAATCTTTATGGAAGCAGACTGCCACATCTTTGTCCTGCAGAGCGGCTGGTGGCTTTGAACCACTGACATTTCAGTTAGCAGCCAAGTGCTTAACCACTGCACCACCAAAGCTCCTGTTATTATAGATAATATATTTTAAATTACTAATTATTTCTAGCTGCTAGTTGCTAATATATAGAAATTAATTTCTGTATGCTGACCTTAAAGCTCTCTGGCAACTTTGCTTAACTCTCTTATTAGTTCTAATGATTTGTCTGTAGATTCTTTTCTATGTAGATAATCATCTATGAATGTTGTTGTTAGGTGCCGTTGAGTCAGTTCCGACTCATAGCAACCCTATGTACAACAGAACGAAACACTGCTCGGTCCTGCACCATCCTCACAATCATTGCTATGTTTGACCCCACTGTTGTAGCCACTGTGTCAGTCCATCTCATTGAAAGTCTTCCTCTTTTTTGCTGACCCTCTACTTTATCAAGCACGATATCCTTCTCCAGGAACTGGTCTCTCCTGATAACATGTCCAAAGTAAGTGAGACGAGGTCTCACCATCCTTGCTTCTTAGGAGCATTCTGGCTGTACTTCTTCAAGACAGATTTGTTCGTTCTTCCGGCAGTTCATAGTATATTCAGTATTCTTTACCAACACTGTAATTCAGAGGCATCAATTCTTCTTCGATCTTCTTGTCCAGCTTCATTGTCCAGCTTTTGCATGCATATGAGGCGATTAAAAATACCATG